TTATACTTTTTAAAACCAAATTTGCTGTGTGTCTTTGGAGAATCTAGTTGAGATATATACTGATAAATGATAGCACTACTGGAAAAGAATTAATATAACTGGATCCTCTGAGCCACTGCCTCAAAAAGCCCCTCAACCTCAAAAGATGAAGAGGGGCTATTTGCGGTAAATCCCAAAGCCCTCCTGGAATATGATGCTGAAACCTGTGATGAATACAGAAGTGGGTTCTTCAGAAGATTCTGATTAAATATGTAATCTAAATCAAAGAAGTCTGCAGGGTATATGTTCTAAATATTTTTAACTGGAAGTAACTGCTTTACCAAGTTGTGTTGGGTTCTGCCATACATCAACATGAATCAGCTGTAGGTATACACATGTCCCTTCCCTCAAGGTGTATTTGTTCTTAAATGCTCACAAATTACTAATATAAATAAGGTTGATTATCATAGTGCTATTAATGAAGCAGGATATATACTTCTCTTTTCTCCCCTTTAATCTGCCTTTACCACAGGGAAGTACAAATGAGGTAAGTTAAATCTTTCTTAAATTAAGAGCTACTCGTATATTTATAAACATTATGATTGTCTTATTTTACAAACCAACTAGTCATTAAAGGATGTCTCAATGTAGATAAGTTTTAAAATATTTAATTTACTCTGAACATATTATTTTATCTGCATATGAAACACAAGAATTGATTATCATGAATATTTTATTTCTGAATGTTTAGAAATTTTCAAAAATCTTAAGCTCTAACATTGGACATTTTGTTCTACTGCAGAGTGAAACAAGTAGTTATGAAAATCTTGAGGAAACTTAACTAATGCAGAGTCAATGAAGCTACAACCTTTAGAAGTGATTTTCAACTTTGGCTTCTGAATGAGTTATCTGTACCACTTTAAGCAGGTTTCAGGCCAGTATGTAGTGTAACTAACTTTCTTGGCATACCTTGGACCTGACCTGTAAATTAGTGTTCATTTCTCCCACTGCACATGTGTAGAAAGTCGTATCTGAGGAAGAATCTAAGTTTCTAAGAAGGAATCATTTTCACATAAGAAAAGTTATTTCTGTGGAATCATTACTTTCAGAAAGCAAAATTGATCTTCAGCAACTACAGTGACAATACATAATTCTTCCCTTGGTTTCTGCTGTTTTATATATAACTAGATTATGTCTGCCAATCAGATACCAAGTATATATTTAATATTTATAAGTCAACAAGGAATAATTTTATGTAAAATTCAGTAAAATGAATTTACTAAAACAGTAAAAATAAATTTCAACTTTGTAAATCAAATCTTAAGAAAAAGGAACTTTTGAGAAAACATGGATCAAATTGAATGTATTAGAATCAGAATAGAACTAAGGTGTCAGTATGCATTTGTAAATTGATCATGGTATAGTTCAGACTTAAGAAAAAAGGCATATAGACTCAAAAAGATAAAAATGAATGGAATTTCCTGGAAATTCTGTTTAAGGATATCAAGCTTTTGTCCAGCCTTTAAAAATACTCAGACTTTTTAAATACTCTAGAATACATCAGATAAATTGGTCTTAACTGAGTGTTCATTATGTGAAAGTCAGAGGAGGTAATGAATTTTAGATACTAGCTGAGGGGTTAAAAAAAATATTTATGGACACTTCAGAAAGCAGTATGTAAACATTTTTATGATTCAAACACTGTTACACAGACAAATAATAACAACAGGTAGTTTTAATGAAGAAAGACTTTCTAAGGTAATGTTTCTGAATAAAGGTTTTGTAAGCTATGAACTAATTGGTGGAAGCAAGGAAAGAGAGCATATTTGAGAAAGCCCATGTGGTGGGGAAGGGGTAACACATGTGCTTATTTGCATGACCATATCAGGAAATTATGGAGAATAAAAAGTGGTCCCTTTTTGAAAAACCTATCAGGAAGGTCCAATAGCAAGTGTTCTACCTGTGTATAATAAATTTGCTATTGGCAATCACAAGTTATGAGCTCCTATAATTCCTCTAAAACTAGTAATATTCACAATATGAGTTTTCCACATCCGTGGGGCACAGTGAGTTAGGAAGCTCTAATCCAAAAGGTGGGAACGGTAAAAGAAAATGCAGTCTGAGGATAGAACATTTACCATAGAGATCAACCCACAGAAGTAGTAATATCAACACACTGGAGAGTTGAAAATATTTTTGACTGCTGAGATACTAGTTATTAGTATATATGTTATACAGATTACTAAGGATTCCAAATTTAGCATGCTGAATTTTATATAGTACCATAAATTACACTAAAAGGAAAAAGTTTTTATCTGTGTATTTAATAAAATGTTTTATCATTTTTTAAAATAATCTTGATTATTTATTTCTAGGCTTTATACAAGCTTTACAGTGCGGCAGCAACCCACAGACATCTGTATCATCAAGCGTTTCCTGCACCAAAGTCAGAATCTACTGAACAATCAGAAAAGAAGAAAATGTAACCCCAAATTTAAAAAATACAGGTGCATGACCAAATTGTCAATTAAATATTGTTTTATGTTTCCATGCACACATACAAAGTGCTTCCATCAGAACAGAGTAAAATACCAAGCACCTATGAAGAGTGCACAACAGCTTAGTTCTTTTGCTTCAGTGTTTAATAAGCAGATATATGTATGCATGGTTATATCATTTGTTAACATGTATGGTTTCTTGATTTTGTCTTCAAATATGCTATTATAATTTAAAGAATTTGTCTATTTATGATAACAGTACATGTGTTCTGCTTGAATTTACTAAATACTACTACTGGGTTATAGTTAAAACCATGTAGTAATATTATTCCACATTTAGATATGCTCATTTAATTTCTACAGAAGAATTTTAAAATTATTTCACATAGGCATTTGTTAAAACATAGCTAAATAGGCTTGATTCAACCTATACCATCTTACATATACCATTAGCTTTTATTATAAAAGACATCTAAGAGAGCTTTTCAGTTGCTTTATCAGAAACTATATATTGCTTCTTTTATATTATTGTTTAATATAGAATATAAACCTCTTGATCAAAAATGCACAAAAAAATCACTTTGTATATGTATTTGAGTTTCACTGCATTGTATATTTTTTCATTTGGTACACAAAGATATGTATTCATCATAGGTTTATTCTTTTAACATGTGAACTATTATTAAAGTTTACTCTGGTTCCTAAGATTAAAAACAACTGAATTTGGAAATGTTTGGGAGGTGCTGATACAGAAGAGGAAAGTTTCTATCTCCTTTTTAAATTCAAAATGCATTTTCTTTAATATTGACACCATTACAGATTTAGCTTTTCATTTTAACATATGTATGCTGATCCCTTTTAGGTACCTTCCAGTTCTTTTAAACCAGTGATTCTATATTGTATTTCTAATTACTAAAATCTGTAGTGGAATTTCATTGAACATACTTTTTAGAGGATAAAAATGTGCGGTAATGAAAAAAAAAAAAGTAATGCCTCTTATCCAGGAGCTCTAAAACAGAGTGATTTATAACTTTCTTAGAAAAAGTAAGCTTTAGTTAAATGAAATGGTAATATTAAATAAAGAATAAACAATGATTAAGATGGAAAAGTATGTCAGAGTTCATAAGATATATAAGCTCACATCTTAGCAAAGTTTGATCACATGGCCTGTGAAATAACTTTTCCCACTGATAAAATTCCACTGGCCTATTTTCATTTTGGATACCCCTTTCATTCTGCTTCCTCTGCCTATGGGCCTGCTGAATGGAAAAGTAGAATATTTATAAGCATTATGTATAAAACATGGACTCAAATACAACACATTTAGTTTCCACAAAAATATATTTAATAAGCTTGTTATATAAAATCAAACAACTAACATTTTCAACATTTTATCAATAACTCATATTCACTGATATCTAACTAGGAGTACTTTATATTTTGAAAGATTACCTAAACTAAAAAATTATTTACATATTTACAACACATGTAAATATAACTGAACAGCTATTTCAGCAAGTGCTGAAATTCACAGAATTGTAGAGATTTATAGGCTAGCTGTGCCATAAATTTGCCTGCAGTCAAATGTACTGTGCTAGTTATGAACAGTGTCTTAATAACTACTAAACCAAAAGGAAAATAAGTTGGGAGGAAAATGCCAGGTTTTAAACTTCTGTGACAAACTTGGAAGATAAAAAATACATAAAGTCAATTTAATGACCAAGATTTCTTAATGAATCCCTGATTGCCATTTTTGGCAGCTCAACCCAGTCGTTTAGGATGGCAATGTGCTGTGCTGCTGGGAAGTGACCTCAGTCTCATCAGAACCATGTTGCTAAGTGCCATAAGAGCCCTGGCCCAAAGGAAGGAAGTAACGTTAGCAACCCTTGAGTGCTGTACACAACGTTCCCACACAGGCTGGAGCCTTTTACCTAAATTTATTCCTGAAATATTACAGGCCCTTCACCCTTTCAACACCAAAAAAATACTTTTCCAACATGTTTTAAAACAGTTCTTTACATTTGGGGGCAGGGAGGAGGAGTAACCCTATATATTATATATAAAAATGTATCACAATAAAGGTTCCAAGTCGTTTTGTTTTGAACTACACAAGGTAATATTTAAACCATCCAATTCCAGACAATATTCCACATTACAGCAGTAAACGCTTTTTAAATACTGCATACGTTATCTCTTTCTCTGTTTTTTACTACTATTGTGACAGTTTACCAACTGATCATTTCCTATTTAATATCTGGTTAAATGACATTTGTCTCCATCAAGAATATGCAAAGCAGTTTTCAGATATACAGCATTTAGAGTGTCACTGTTGGCCCTTAAAATGATAAACTCATTTTTTCTCAATAAAATAATATTTTTAATAACAAAATACATGTAAAATTAGAATTTTATAATTTCCAAAAAGTAAGCTGCCTTTATTAACCAAAGTATTTGCAGTTTTTTAATCTGTGAAAATAGTTTAAAGCCCTTATAAAACTTAAATTTTGTTTTTAAAAAATTAACTTAAAAATTCTTGCCATGTTGCTGGGCATACCACTGCTGTCTCTGCTTACGATTTTCCAACTCCGTGAGAAGAGCCTGTCTGTAGGCTTCATACATTTTAACAATCTGTTCCAGTTCTTTCATGAAAAGCAACTTTAGCATTCCCTGGTATGTGTCCAGGTCAGCCAGCTGAAAGAGTTCCCACTTCAGAATGTGGTCATATCTGTTTTAAAACACAAGCAGACATATGTTCACACCATACACATAAATATATATTTATATTAGTAAATTGGTCTATTTTATAAGTATCAATTTTATTATAATTAATAAACCATAAACTTCAATTTAAAATAACCAAGTTATTATCTGCTAGTTAAATACACTACTTTTTAGGAAGAGGAAAAATCTGCTATTATTACTTCATTTCAATTTCAATTTAAAAATACCTATTTTGTTCATCTTATATATCAGTTATTCTAATATTAACACTAGGTAATAGTGAACACCGATTTCAAATCACTGTGGTTCTGTAATTTTAAAGAACACATTTCATGCTGTTCATAAGTTCATCCAAAGTTAACTGTCAGGAAGGTAAGAATACTTTAGACCACACTGTCCCTCAAAGAACATACAAAAAAACAGGGAAGATCATTTGTGTCATTAGTGTTGATAAAGCTTTTTGAGGTATACTGTTCACTATAGCAAACAAGGAACTAAGCAGGTAAACAAATGAAAAGGAACCATCATTTGTGGGCTGCATAATCCTGAGGCTGAGTATACACTATTACAAACAACAACAACAAAAACAGAAAAACTCAAGCCAAAAGGATAGAAAAGGTCTTTTCAGAATGAGAATAAACAGACTGTAGAAGACTGCACGATATGGGAATGGACTCATGTAAGTTTACATGTATATACATTTCAGAAGGCTTTTAGTCCCTTTTCAATGGTAAGTACATCACATACTGAGATGAAGTATACAACAATCTACTAAAGTGGAAATTTACACTTTGCATTGAAAGGGACCTGAAGACAGCATTCTAATCCAATCATTTTATTTTATGGATGAAACCTAAAGAGGTGTGTGTGTATATATATATATTGCAAAATTGTTCAGTGACTAAAAGATCAGAAAGGTAGAAAACTATAGGGACCAAGATGTATGAGAATAATAGTTCTGAATGATTAATACCTATTAAGACTAGAAAAATAACTTGAACTAGAGCAAGGCATATACCTATATATTATGTTTCTCAAATCATACTGCAAAACAGACATAATAGGAAGAACTTTAACTGTAAATTATAGTAAATTTATTCTTAATAATTTATAATATTTCCTACCCAATGATTCCTTGGTAACTAATTTATCATCTTAGTCCAAGGGGATCATGTAGTATTTTTTTTAAAAAGGGAAACAGCGAACAAATGTAGAGCAGCCACTATGAGCCACATACTGTGCTTGGCATGTTGACATGCATTTCTGTGCAACTTGGGTATGTGTACCAGAATACCAGAAGCACAAAATCACAAGGTAAATATAGTTTGGACCCCAAATTTATTCATTCAATTACTTAATGAGTACTGCAAATTTACTAACAGATAAACTTAGCAGAAAGCTTTACATTCTCTTTAGAGGGAAACTCCAACTATTTGTCAAATTGGAAGACATACTACAAAAAATACTGAGTCTCCATGAAGAAACAGTAGTAAGGTGTTTCCTAGAACCTCTGCCATTCAGGTATCTTAAGATTTTACGTATTTGTTTGAAACAAATTCATAATTCCTAACAACAACAACAAAAACCCTTAATCTCCTTCAGTCTGAATTTCATAGCTAAGGGGCATTTCAGCAATGTTTACTGATTCAAGATGCTAAAATTTATGCCAGGTGAACTATAAGCATGTTAAAGCTCATTTATCATCTGGATACTTTATAGCAAGAAAAAGAAAGGAGAAGAATAAATATAGTAATATTAGAGAATATCAAACTTGTTTTTAAGACATGTTTGGGCTTCCCTGGTGGCTCAGTGGTAAAGGACCCACCTGCCAATGGAGGCGATGTGGGTTTGATCCCTGGGTTGGGAAGATCCCCTGGAGAAGGAAACTGCAACCCACTTAAGTACTCTTGTCTAGGAAATCCAATGGACAGAAGAGCCTGGCAGGCTATAGTCTATGGAGTCGTAAAAGAGTCAGACCCAATTTTGCAACTAAACAACATCATTCGGTATACACATTCAAGTTTTAAAAAAGAAAAAAACTTCAGATAACTTTCTGACTTCCCAATCACAGCATTTGGCATCAAGAATTAGATTTTGTGTAGAAGCAAGAAAATCAGAGTATTTAGTGAAAATACTCTCGGAAGAGGAAAAAGCATTCTAAGGAAAACTATAAATGATAAAAGTATGCAATCTGTTAATTTCCATTCCAAATCCTTGCCCCTGCTATTTCTGTATAGTGACTTCCCTTCTGCCTATGCCCACTATTTAATTTTTTAAAGAAAACAAAACAAACAAACAAAAAAATGTATATAATTCCCATTCTTCTTAATGAGCCAAATAACCTGCTTCAGTTTAACTTTTAGCCACTATATACAGGTAAATCATCCAGAAAATAGGATGTAAACTACTCCAATATCCTTTTCTTTTGGTATATTTTACCTACATCAGTATTCTATTCAAACAGCACTATAAATAACCTATATACACAAACAGCAATTGCTGTAATGCTACCAAAAAACCTTGTTCACACTCCAGTGGATGCTGCCTTCAGGAGCCCAAAAAGTACTGCTCTTCCCAGCCCCAGGTTATCATATGTAGCCCAAGTTCCCTGTGCCTGTCTTATCTAACAGTATGCCCACTCTGCCTTTGCTCCTATACCCAGAAGTAAGTCAACAGTTATACTGCAGGATCATAGACTCAGGAATAAAAGAGTCTGTGCCACAAACTATTGGGGACTGGGGTGGGGGGGCGGGGAGCAGTGGGGGGGCAGAGGGGCGGGGGCGTGTGAGGAATAATGGAAAGTAAACATGTTTCTGATGTTCTTTTTCCTGTTAAAGATTAAATCTTTTAATATTCTCCTATAGTTCAACTTGCTGACAATTACATGATACATTACAGACTTCTATGACCAAACTTAGAAACTTAACTTTACTAAAACAAATAAATAATTAAATTATCTGTTTTAAGCCAGTTCTAGAAGTATATACAAACATTACTTTGGTAGGTTACTGCTAGAGATAGAATTAAAGCACTTTAGAAAGCTGTATGATGTCCATTGTTTGGTAAACAAGAAGAAGAAACAAGCTAATTTTTTGGCTAAAACCTCTTGGATGAGATAAGTAATTGATTCTCTATTATCTAATTCATAGATAACAACTCATCTTTTGTTGACAGACAATATTAACCACTTCTAATCCTCTTCAGAGACAAAAATTTAGTATCAACTAAAAGGTTTCTAGACCTCTTGTTTTAAGCAGTAAAGGAGTCCTCCTTTACTGCTTACACAGGACTTAAACTCTTCTCACTGGCCCATTCTGATCTATTTGGAAAAAACTGAAGTGGTTAATTTCCTACATATATAGCTAGTTCAAAGAACCAGAGTTGAAAGAAACTATAACCTTTGGAAGTCTTTTTTTCCCCTCTTTTTTTCATAAGAACCAAAGCATTCCATTTAAGTACTATCTTTTTCCCCTCAAAAGGAAAGCTTTTTAGTTATTTCTAACAATTGCTATAGAGTAGAAAATACAATATAGAAAAAGAGTAACCCTGCTCAATCTTATCAACTCCCAGAAACAACAAAGGTCAACAGGCACATTTCTTCCAAACTTATGGAAACAGAAATCTATGTACACGTTATATATGACTTAGGATCGGCATATGAACAAAGGCTATACACATCAGTATATCAAGTGCTATCAAGACTGAAAGAAGGGAAAAAGGGAAGACAAGTCTGCTATCTCTCCTCATCCCATTCCTACACTATATGGATTATAAGAATAAAGAGGCTTCTGGAGGTGAGCTCAGACACCAAACCTTGCTTAACTTCTATGGATAAATGTCTACAGAATTTCAAATCAATTAAAAACCAGACTTCTGACAAACACTGTTTATACTTTGTAGAATAATATCTATAATTAGAACCTATTTAAAAATTACACTTAACAAGGCTTAAATTTGACTTACGGAGGAAAAAACTGATCCTTTTAGACCACAACCTTCAAATATCATCTTACCTCTCTGCATAAGGCCACAGATCAACAGCCATGAATTTACAGACTGAGAAGATGGAAACGGATGTAAGGGAATGTTTATGTTGACCAAGAATAAATAATTCATAGTAAATGACCACCCCAACCATTAACACTGAAGAAGCTGAAGGTGAATAGTTCTATGAAGACCTACAAGACCTTCTAGAAATAACACCAAAAAAGATGTCCTTTTCATTATAGGGGACTGGAATGCAAAAGTAGGAAGTCAAGAAACTCCTGGAGTAACTCCAAGGCAAATTTGGCCTTGGAGTACAGAATGAAACAGCACAAAGGCTAATAGAGTTCTGCCAAGAGAACACACTGGTCATAGCAAACACCCTCTTCCAACAACACAGAAGACTCTACACATGGACATCACCAGATGGTCGACACCAAAATCAGACTGATTATATTCTTTGCACCCAAAGATGAAGAAGCTCTATACAGTCAGCAAAAACAAGACTGGGAGCTGACTGTGGCTCAGATTCATGAACTCCTTTTTGCCAAATTCAGACGTAAATTGAAGAAAGTAGGGAAAACCACTAGACCATTCAGGTATGATCTAAATCAAATCTCTTGTGATTATACAGTGGAAGTGAGAAATAGATTTAAGGGACTAGATCTGATAGAGTGCCTGATGAGCTATGGATGGAGGTTCGTGACATTGTACAGGGCACAGGAATCAAGACCATCCCCGAAAAAAAGAAATGCAAAAAAGCGAAATGGTTGTCTCCAGAGAAGGCCTTACAAATAGCTGTGAAAAGAAGAGAAGCGAAAAGCAAAGGGGGAAAAGGAAAGATAAACCCATTTGAATGCAGAGTTCCAAAGAATAGCAAGGAGAAGTAAGAAAGCCTTCCTCAGTGATCAACGCAAAGAAATAGAGGAAAACAATAGAATGGGAAAGACTAGAGATCTTTTCAAGAAAATTAAGAGATACCAAGGGAATATTTTATGCAAAGATGGGCTCAATAAAAGACAGAAATGGTATGGACCTAACAGAAGCAGAAGATATTAAGAAGAGGTGGCAAGAATATACAGGAGAACTGTACAAAAAAGATCTTCACGACCCAGATAATCACGATGGTGTGATCACTCACCTAGAGCCAGACATCCTGGAATGTGAAGTCAAGTGGGCCTTTGGAAGCATCACTATGAACAAAGCTAGTGGAGGTGATGGAATTCCAGTTGAGCTATTTCAAATCCTGAACGATGATACTGTGAAAGTGCTGCACTCAATATGCCAGCAAATTTGAAAAACTCAGCAGTGGCCACAGGACTGGAAAAGGTCAATTTTCATTCCAATCCCAAAAAAAGGCAATGCCAAAGAATGCTCGAACTACCACACAATTGCACTCATCTCACACGCTAGTAAAGTAATACTCAAAATTCTCCAAGCTAGGCTTCAGCAATACATGAACCGTGAACTTACAGATGTTCAAGCTGGTTTTAGAAACGGTAGAGGAATTAGAGATCAAATTGCCAGCATCCACGGGATCATTGAAAAAGCAAGAGAGTTCCAGAAAAACATCTACTTTTGCTTTATTGACTATGCCAAAGCCTTTGAACTGTGTGGATCACAATAAATGGTGGAAAATTCTGAAAGAGATGGGAATACCAGACCACCTGACCTGCCTCTTGAGAAATCTGTATGCAGGTCAGGAAGCAACAGTTAGAACTGGACATGGAACAACAGACTGGTTCCAAATAGGAAAAGGGGTACGTCAAGGCTGTATATTGTCACCCTGTTTATTTAACTTACATGCAGAGTACATCATAAGAAACGCCGGGCTGGAGGAAGCACAAGCTGGAATCAAGACTGCCAGAAGAAATATCAATAACCTCAGATATGCAGATGACACCACCCTTATGGCAGAAAGAGAAGAAGAACTAAAGAGCCTCTTGATGAGAGTGAAAGAGGAGAGTGAAAAAGTTCGCTTAAAGCTCAACATTCAGAAAACGAAGATCATGGCATCCGGTCCCATCACTTCATGGCAAATAGATGGGGAAACAGTGGAAACAGTGGCAGACTTTATTTTTTGAGGCTCCAAAATCACTGCAGATGGTGACTGCAGCCATGAGATTAAAAGACGCTTACTCCTTGGAAGGAAAGTCATGACCAACCTAGACAGCATATTAAAAAGCAGAGAAATTACTTTGTTAACAAAGGTCCATCTTGTCAAGGCTATGGTTTTTCCAGTGGTCATGTATGGATGTGAGAGTTGGACTATAAATAAAGCTGAGCGCCGAAGAATTGATGCTTTTTAACTGTGGTGTTGGAGAAGACTCTTGAGAGTCCCTTGGACTGCAAGGAGATCCAACCAGTCCATCCTAAAGGAGATCAGTCTTGGGTGTTCATTGGAGGGACTGATGTTGAAGCTGAAACTCCAATCCTGTGGCCACCTGATGCAAAGAGCTGACTCATTCGAAAAGACCCTGATGCTGGGAAAGATTGAGGGCAGGAGGAGGAGGGGACGACAGAGGATGAGATGGTTGGATGGCATCACCAACTCGATGGATATGGGTTTGGGTGGACTCCGGGAGTCGGTGATGGACAGGGAGGCCTGGTGTGCTGCGGTTCATGGGGTCGCAAAGAGTCGGCCACGACTGAGCAACTGAACTGAACTGAATTTCAAATTCACCGTATAATCTTTCTAATTATCCTAAATTTTCTAAACTCCTCTTTGGCCTATTTTATGCTGATAGTTTGGTTTTTGAAATGCAAAAGAGTAAGGCTACAAAATATTACCTTATATAATTGTCAACAGCTCTACACATGCAATTATTATGTGTAAAATACCTAGCAAAGTACCAGAAATTGAATAGATACTTAGTAAATGATAATAATTATTAAATAAGAAAATAATGACAAAAATTAAGAGTATGAACTTTGGAATTAGAGAAAAAGGTTTGAAATCTACTACTCAATATGTGTTTGATCTTAGCAAAGACTAAGTTATTTTCAGCTATAAAATAGGTTTTGGGAAGATTATATGAGAGAACATATCTGAAAGTTTAGCACAGTATGGTTCAGGAAACACTGTATTATCAGCAACTATTTATAATACTTTCAAACATCCCCTTTTCTGAAATCACAGCACTTTGTATATATTAGTCACTAATCTTTATCACACTGGATTATTGATCTGAGTGCTTCTGTTTTCCAGGAGAGCTCTCTGAGGCAAACATTTCATTTATTCATGATTATATTGAACAGTGCCTCATGTGCTCAGTCACTTCCGAGTCTTTGGGACTTCATGGACCATTGCCCATTAGGCTTCTCTGTCCATGGAATTTTCCCAGCGAGAATACTGGAATGGGTTGCCATACCCTCCTCCAGGGGATCTTCCTGACCCAGGGATTGAACCCACATATCTTGCATTTCCTGCATCAGCAAGCAGATTCTTTACCACTGCACCACCTGGGAAGCCCTGAACATTGCCTACTACCCAACAAATATCCTCAATGAGCCTAGCAAACTCATAGCCATCTTTAAAAACTAGCCTCATATATTTTCCTTTTGAGGGCACCTTTCCTTGCTCATTCATAATAATGAGAAACTATTACTAAGGCTTACTCAAGTCAGCTGCTGTACCATTTTGCGTAATCACTTAAGCTTCACCACATCAAGTAAGGTAGATAAAATTACTATCCCCTATGTTTCAGTAGAGCAAAAACACTTAGAACTAAGTTCAGTAACTTGCCCAAGGTCACTCAGTTAGTAGATAATGGAGACAGAAATCACACTTTCCTTCCAGATAGTTTCCTTCCTGACTGATCTTAACCACTATCCTATACCTTTAGTGCAAAAGTAACAGTCATCATTTACTAAGAGTTCTTTTAACGTGCAAGACACTAAAATGTGTGTGACACATATTTTAGATGCATTATTTTATTGAATACTTAATAACCTTAGGAGTAGATACTATTACTATCTCCAATTAACAGAGGACAAACTAAGTTAAGCACCCTGCCCGGAGTAACAAAGCTAAGGTATCAGTGAACACAAATCATCTCATCCCAGAACCTGAGTCACCATACATAATATTTCCTCAACACCCCTGTGTCTTGCTTGGTTTCACCTGTGTACCGAGGACTTACCCAGGTCCTTCCTTTTATCACAAGGCATTGCATCACATATTTGCAAGTTATCCTACCCGTATGAGAATGTAAGCTTTTCACTGCATCTCTATGTAACAGCTCAGGACTGCACATTAACAGAAAGTGAAGATGCAATAAATGTTTGCAAAACTTATATTTCTAATCAATGACTTTTAAACTTTATAAGCTGTGATATCCCTTTTTTGAATAAAAGCCCAATATCATTAAGAGAAAAAAACACAGTGCTGTGTGGTTTAAGCAGCCCAGAGACTCCCTTCAGCCTTCCACTCATGCCTCAACAAAAATCTGTGCTGTAATTTCACTTACTTCACAGGGGCTCGAGCATAAACCTGAAGCCAGTCAGGAATTTCTGCAGTATGATAAGGATTTGCAGGTACCAGAAGGGACTGATTTCTCTCGGCTTGCTGTGGCTGGTATGTAACAGGAGGAGGTTGATCATACCGAGGCACACTAAGACAGAACAAACGTTCATCAGGATGACGGTCTCAACAGAAGAGGAAGTGTAAGAATACTGTCTGTTTGTCAAAGTGCCTCTTGCCCACACTTCTACCACCTTTTTTTTTTAAACTATACTATAGGAGAAGTAAAATTCACCTTCTCTTGGAAACTTATAGGTCATTAGTGATATAAAGAGAACTAAGCTAATCTTTACATATTTTTAAGAGGTTTCTTCTGGCTGATATTCTTTTCAAGGGCAACTTCAAAGGAGGCTATAAAAAAATTCAGAGCAAAGTTATAACCTTTATAAGGAGGCTTAAAACTAGAATCATAAATTTTAGTAATAATTAAGTAATTAGCTATAAATTTATATTGGAAAAGGTGGTAATTCTTCTCAAAATAAGAATGGATATTTCTTTTCTCCTTTAGGTTGAAAAGGGGGTATGGAATAGATGTTAAAGTAGTAATGAGTACTGTGCTTGAACTAGCCACCTAACTATACCACTTCCTTTCCACTTTTACAAACTTACAAGAGCATAAGGGAGTTAGAGCTGATTAGAGCCTGTTTTAAATCAGAGACTTTAACAGCCTATAAGTGTTGGGGGAAGGAGGGAGAACAGCAAGGTGGGGTGAAAGCTGTTCATGGAAAAATGCTAAGGAAAGCTTGAAGGTTCAAGGAACCACTTGAAGGTTAAAGACTGAATTCTGAGAGACCAAACTGGCCTATTCCAGACTTGGAGACAAAACTGGAAGAGTCTACCTCCAAACAAAATTGTTTATGTGTATATCAGAAAAGGTCATTCCAGTACTAAATTAGGACTAAAGTGTAAGTGTTGGATTACACTGTAGTTAACAATTTAAAGATCAATGTGCAAATGGTACTGAATTTTATCTTCAACTCTTTCATGAATAGGTGCAAAGTGAAATATTCCTTGATAGCACAGTTGGACAGGAAAGAACAGAAGTGGGAAAGAACTGAGGCTTTGAAGTCAAACTGGCCACTTACAAGTTGTATGAATGTAGATGAATACTGCTTCTCTTCTCTAAACTTTAGCCTCCTGATTTGTAAAACTGGAATAAATTCATACCAGAGATGACTGTTCTAAGGATTAAATGGCCTAGTATAATGAAGAGTTATGTAAAAGGATTAGCATAATACAGACAATCAAATAGCTACTAACACTACCTATCTCAGATTAAAGGTGTTTACTCTCTCCTTTTTAAAGTCTACAGAGCTGCTGAGAAAGGCAAACTATAAAACTGCTTTGTAAACTATTAAATTCTACAATGTAAGATTAATGATGACAAACAGAAAACTAAGCTCACTATACACGCAAACCTTTCTATAGACCAGAAAGTCTGCGGTTCGGTGACAGCAAACTGTAACCACATTTTGCTGTCTTTTTTTTTTTGGCAGGGGAGGGGAGGGCATTTCTATCATTTTTTATCATTTATTCATTCAACGTCTACCTGTGTGAATTTCTGTGTTTGGTGCTGGGGACACAGTAGTAAATAAGTGGGACTCATCCCTGCCCTTGGGTAAGAATTGTGATCAGGTGGGAGGGACAACTGACAAATCAGCCCCATGTCACAGGCCTGAAAATGGAAGCCAAGGAGAGTAACAGCAGCCTGCCTGAGATGGTGGTGAAAGCAGGCAGAGGGGCCAGAGCCCAGCAAATGCAGAGTGGTTAATCTGGCTCTTCTGAAGGGATGACAACTTCACTTGTTCAATAAACACTGAGTGCGTGCCACTAAATGGAATCACTGGAAAAAAACTGCTTTTCAAAGTTGAATTAATAAATCCAAACATGTAAAATAATTAAAACAACACAATAATGATAAAGCTTAGTTTTCTGGGTGATAATATTAAAATGTATTTTCAAAATAATTTAAATGGTTCTAAAAAAATGCAAAAGTGTGCTCTAACCAAACATCTGTGCTATGCTAGATGATATTAAGCAACAGCTATCAACATGCTGATGATATTCTACCCATTTTTAATTTTACGGCTCAGTTCTTAAGAGCTCAATATTGTTAACTGCAAACATTTGCAGTTTCATACCAAACATTTTATGTACTTTGAAATTCAGTGTGTATTTTACATGTATGATGCATCTCAACTTGGATTAATCATATTTCAAGTGCTCAACAGCCATATCTGACAACCGGCTATAGAATTCAAAGGCTAGAAATCTGGCTATCAATGAAATCTACTGATAGGCCAGCATCAGTCAGAATAAGCCAAAGGATCACTGGCTATATTTATTAAACAGATCTGAGATGTTCTGTAGTTTCAATTTTTGCTTTCTTACCTGGCAACAGTTAAGAAACAGAACATAAAGTATCTGTAAACTGAATAAACAACAAGACATCATTATAATTCAAAAGTATATTCTACACATTCAAAGGTAGGTCTATATTTTTAAAGAAATTTAAATGTAAAAAGATGAGAATTTTATTTATTTTAATCTCTGGGTATCTTTAACAAAAACATTCTGGCATATTAAAGCAGAACCCGATCATAAGAATATTGATCCTGTTTTTGAGGTTTATTTTTAAAGTTTTTTAATTATTAAAGTCATTCATTACTAAATATAAGTCCAGAAGCTGTGAAAGATAAAAGTTTTCAAATCAAACATCAGGATACCTTTCTCGTTGATGAAAATGTAAGTTCAAAATCTAACATTAAAAAAAAAAAATCTAACATTAGACAATCTCCAAACAAAAGGGTTAAAATAGACAATACTCTACCTTGGAGCACAAGGATGCCTATATTGAGCCTTTTTATTCGTGTGATCTACATAATAGGTTCCAAATTCTGAAGACTCAACACGTTCCCATCCTGGAGGAAGTCCTTCTCGCTCAAGAGGATGGCTCCAATGAGTTGTATTTGTGTTGTGATCTATGTAATATTTCCTCCCTCTCATTGTCCAGTCCACAGACCAGCCAGGAGGAAGGGGTAAATCTTCAGAACCATGGTTAGCTAAATTTCCTAATGATGTAGCAGCAACTCTCCCAATACCTGAGAGGAAAAAGAGAAGAAACAGAACAATTATTATAGCTAAAAGATATATACCATATGAAAAACTCAAAACTATCCAAATTATACTCTCCCATTAAAAATCATGATTTTTACTGTGACAAAATTTTTCTTAAAACTAGACAATGTTACTGTTATTTACTTACAAAAGGAGAAAAAAACTATAATCTATGAAATTAGGCTCTTTTGGTTGATGCTTCCATCACCAAACCATACAAAACAAAACTAATTAAGCATGTATACTGCTAAAGGAAAGTGAGAAAAAGAAAAATTCATCTCATTCAAGGGTTAAGATTTGACATTTCATCTAAAATAGCAAAAATGAACTTGTAAAACTATTCTTAGTTTGTAATTTCTTAAAAATAGTATGGCTAAAAAAAAAATCTGGCTGTACCATAAAACTACTAAGGAAGTTTACCAAGTATAAGGTAAACATACAAAATCAATTAAATATTTTTATATTAATAATTGAAAACAAATTATAACACTTATAACAGCTCCAAAAATTTAAATATTTACATATCAATCTAACAAAAAATTGTAGGCTCTGTATGCTGACAACTACAAAACAGTGATGAAAGAAATGAAATGGATGTGGTCAAGATGGTGGAGTAGAAAGACCCTGAACTCATCTCCCATGGGCACACCAAAAATACAACTATTAATATTTACAGAGCAACTACTGATGAGAACAACCAGAATCTAGCAGAAAAGATCTTCTACAACTAAAAATATAAAGAAGGAACCACAACAAGATGGGAAGGAAAGGTGGAAATGCAATATAGTCAAGACCCTTACCCCCAGGTGGGCAACCCACAAACAGGAGAATTGTAATGTAGAGATTCTCCCCAAGGGGCAAGGGATCTGAATCCCACATTAGGCTTCCTCACCAGGAAGACAAGTCCCCAGAACTTCTGGCTTTGTAGGCCAGCAGTGCTCTCTTTCAGCTGAACCAGTGGGCTGTAAGAAATAAAGACTCCACTCTTAAATGGTGCACACAAAATCTCACACACGCTGGGACCCAGGACAAAAGCAATAATTTGAAAGGAGCATGGGTCAGACCCACCAGCTAATTTCGGGGAGCCTCCCAGAGAGGCAGGAGGAAACTGGGGGCACACACACTTGTGGCAGATGTTTCAGGAGTTTGTTCTATCTCAAGGCCACTGGTGCTGGCAAGTGTCATTTTGGAATCTTCCTTTTAACTTATTAGCAAAAGGACCTGGGCCGTGCCCACCAGTCTATAGGCACCAGTACTGGGACACCTCAGGCCAGGTCAAACAACTAGCCCAGCTGGGACACAGCCCCACTCACCAGCAGGCCAGCTGCCTTAAGACCTCTTGTGCCCTGAGTCTCGTCACGACATGTCTCTGTCCACCAGAGGGCTTAGGACCCAGGCCCACACACCAGTATACAAGCAGGAGTCCTGGAATCTCCAGCAGTGGCAGCATCGGAACCTGGCTCCACCCACCAGTGGGCTGGCACTAGCCTCAGGACCAGCCTCACCCACCATCACTTTCAGATATAACACTATAAACCTCCCAGGAGATAAAACAGGCAATACATTCCTCAACATAAGTTGTAGCAATATTTTCTTAGCTCAGTTTCCTAAAGCCAAAAAAAAAAAAAAAGCAAAAATAAATGGGACCTGATCAAACTTGAAAGCTTTTGCACAGCAAAGGAAACCATGAACACAATGAAAATAACCCCATAGAACAGAAAATATTTGCAAATGCTGCAATCAACAAGGAGTTAATATCCAAAACATACAAACAATGGATACAACTCAGTATTAAAACAAACAACCCAACCAAAAAATGGACAGAAGACCTAAATAGACATTTCTCCAAAAAAGACATTCAGATGGCCAACAGGCACATGAAAAGATGCTCAATATCACTAATTGTTAGAGAAATGAAAATCAAAACTACAATGAGGTATCAATTCACACTGGCCAGAATCATCATTTTGAAGTCCATAAACAGCAAGTACAGGAAAGGATGTGGAGAAAAGGGAACTCTCTTACACTGCTGGGACTGTAAACTGATGCAGCTCCTAAGGAAAACAGTACGGAGGTTCCTTAAAAAAATAAAAATATAATTGCCATATAATCCAGTAATCCCATTCCTGGGCATATACCTGGAAAAGAGGAAAACTCTAACTGGAAAAGATACAAGCACCACAATGTTCACAGCAGCACTATTTATACTCAACATGGAAGCAACCCAAGTGTCCATCAATAGACAACTGGCTTAAAAAGATATGGGGTGTGTGTGTGTATACATATATATGTGTACATGCAAAAGGTGTGTATAAATGTATAAAACACACACAATGGAATGTTATTTAACACTAAAAAAGAATGAAATATTTCCATTTACAGCAACACATGGATGGACCTAGAGAATATCATGTTTAGCGAAGTCAGTCAGAAAGAGAAAGACAAATACTATATGATGTCATTTATTTGTGGAAACTAAAAATAATACAAATGAATCTACACACAAAACCGAAACAGACCCACAGACATAGAAAACAAACTTATGTTTACCAAAAAGGGAGAGGAGGGGAAAACTAGGAGTATGGGATTAACAGACACAAATTATTATACATAAAATAGACGAGCAAGAAGGATTTACTATAGCACAGCAAATTATGGCTCAGTGGTAAAGAATCCGCCTGCCAGTGCAGGAGACGTGGGCTCAGTCCCTGGGTTGGGAAGACCCCCTGGAGAAGGAGATGCAATCCGCCCCAGAGCCCCTGCCTGGGGATCCCGCAGACGGAGAAGCCTGACGGGCTACCGTCTAAGGGGCGCAGAGAGTCAGGCGCGACTTAGTGAGGAAGCAACAGCGACAACAGGGAGTCATACCCAGTGTCTTGTAATGACCTATAATGGAGCACAACTGCAATAAACAAATTACCATGCCATACTCCTGAAATCAACACAATATTGTAAATCAACTGTATTTCAAAAAAAATAAATGAGAGAGAGGTAAAATCCCTAGATCTAATATATATACACCAAGACTGCCAAAAGCAGATGGGCTAGAAGAACAGTAAAGAAAGAAGTGGAAACAAGAACAGAATACTGTGAAAAGCTACACAGCCCAACACACTACCCTGGTAACTTTTCCTTTTCCCTCTCAATCCCCTGCCTCTCTAGCAACTACAGCAGCCAATTTCAAACAACTGGCAGAGAAAAACCCAAATTATTCAATAACATATAATAAAGACAGCACAACATCAATTTCTGCAAGAAAAATTGAAGAGGCAAAAAGGCGCAAAACTGGTTTAAAAGAACATTCAAAAAAAATGTTGAACCAAAGCAGAGAAAAAAACAAAATTAAATATTCTGCCACTGCCATAAACTGAAAAAAGAATGAAGCAATCAACTCCCTGAAGGAAGATCAAAAAGAAGAAAAACAAGAGCCCAAAAAAGCAGATGTTAAAAAAAACAGAGATAGTAGACGTGCTTAGGGAAAGAATGATGAAGACAAAAACTGGAAGAATAAATATGCAGTGTTCATTACAGTAAGAAAGCTGGCAACTCTTAACCAAGTGCTTAAGGTTAACATCACCAATAATATCATAAAGAGATCATGTATCTCCTTTATATGATATGATGAAGACACTTCACCTCTGGTATTCTTTTTATAAACCAATACGCCCAGTCTAAGCATGAGAAAAACATAAGACAAAATGTAAATCGAGGGACAGTCTACAAAACATCTAACAAGTATTTCTCAAGACTGTCCAGGTCATTAAGTACAAGAAAAGACTAAGCAGTTGTTCTAGACCAAAGAACACTAAGGAGATATGACAACTAAATGTAATGGGGTACTCTGCATTGGATCCTGTAACAGAAAATGAACATTCATGAAAAAACTGGTGAAATTAAAATAAAACATGTTGTTTTATTTCTTAAAAATTCTTGAGTTCATGAAGATACTAAAAAGAAAAACTTATTGGTTGCCTCCGGAGGCAGTTAGGCAATTATGAAAAACAGTAAGTAAAGGGAAAGGTCTAGCATGTGTCCTGTCTTATATGAATTGCCAAAATACTAACAAAGGAAACCAAATAATTAAGCAAAGTTCTTCACTATAGAACACTTCCTTACAGAAATCCAACTAATAAAGAAATGACAACATTAGAATATCACTACTTGCAACATCTAATGAAATATTGGATCTAGCCAATAATCAATACTGGCTTCCAAACCACTAGGTGAAAAGCTGACAGAATATCATGATGGATGAATTGGGATGGCATCTGATCCCATGATCAATTTTCACATCACAAAAAGAGAAATCAGTCATTATGTGTCTCTGGATCTGATGCAACAGAATACATAACATCACCTATGAAGTACTCTGGCAGAAAGGAAAATGCAAGAAAGAAAACAAAATCACTCTTGCTGAGTACCGTTTGGGGAGAAAGTCATATATTTCTAAAACATATGGTGACTACAAGACAAAACAAAGCTAAAAAGCCTTCTGGTGAAGCTGACTTTGGCTTCTGCCATTTGCAATTGGACATTTAGTAAGTGTAGCTTAAGCAACTTCAGTACTTAAAGAGAAAACATTTAAACAGAAAAGAAATAAGCCAACGTATTAAAGACATGCACATAGGAAATATCCACAATCACGCTGTTTAAGCATGCAATAGCTTTACACTTTCGCAAATTTCCATCACTGAAGATGCTGCAGTACTAGTCACAACCAAGGATAGCAATTTTCAGAAAGAATTATAGACTCATTAGAAAAGACCCTGATGCTGGGAAAGACTGAGGGCAGGAGGAAAAAGGGGTGATAGAGGATGAGATGGTTGGATGGCATCATCAACACAATGGACGTGAGTTTGAGCAAACTCCAAGAGATAGTGAAGGACAGGGAAGCCTGGTATGCTGCAGTTTATGGGGTCATAAAGAGTGGGACACAACTTAGTGACTTAACAACAACAACACAGTCAATTCAATGTATTCAAAC